AACATAGAATAGAAAAAGATGAGATAAAACTCTTCATTTGGCTCAGTGATAGCCTAGCATATGCCAACAAACAAACAAAAAAGCCCCCATAAACAAATTCAAAAGACAAATGAGAAACTAGGAAGAAGTATTCATAACACATAACTGATAAAAGGTTAATAACCCTGATTTATTAAAAAAAAAAAAAAAAAGCCTTCCAAAATTCGATGGGAGTGGGAGGAAGACCAAAGGCACTATGAAAAATGATAATTCTGCACTCCACTCCGCGGGATATGCAGTCTCAAGCCAGCGCTGTCAGGGCCCCTAACGGAGAACCGCTTTGCGTGGCTCCAGGCTGCGGGGTCTCCTGCAGTCCCCAGCGCCCCACCCAGGAAGCGGGGCGGGCTCCCGGGCTCCTGGTGGACCTCGAACTCCCCGCAGCCCGATCTCTCCCGACTCTGAAAGTACATCTGCAACTTGGCGCTCAGGTTCTTGGGAGGGTTGGGACCCCAGGACCCCTCCACCAGAGCGGGAAGGAGCGCAGCCATCCCGGGCTCGGCTGCTTCTCCGGGACCACCCGGGGCCACCCCACCCACGAGACCCGGAACCTGCCTTGAGCTCCTTTCGCTTTCTTTTCCGTGAAATGTAACGGGGAAAGTTCTGGTTCTATCTGCCCGATGAAACTAAACATTTGAGAGGCAGAGTGATATTTATTGGCAAGAAGACAGAATCTGAAGATGGGGACGCTTGTCCTAAAAAAGCCATCTTGCTTAGGGGTCTCAGGCACAAGACCTTTTTAGAGGGATGGGTGGGGGCGCAGATCAGATGGGCGGCGGCCAGGGTGGCGACAAATTTCCTTGGACCTGCCTTTCTGAGCAGGGGCTGCTGTAGGACGAGAGAAGTTCTGGGTGCTGTAAAACTAAAGAAAAGTTACGGGTTAGAAAGTCTAATAACTCATGTCTTTATACTTCCCTTTTCCCGAGAATAGTTCACCCTGCAAAGTTAATCTTTAGGATGAAAAAAAAAAAAAAAACCCCACCAAAAAACAACAACAACAACAAAAAACATATTTCATGAGAGTACAGAGGAAGATGATGGGGGCGGGGGAGTGGGTCTAGGACGATAATAGAAAATAAAGGACTAGAGTGTAACAGGAGGGTGGATTGGGTGGGTTCTTTGTCTCACAAATAATGAAGAGGGACACAAGGGTGAGAGCAAAGTGACAGGATTTGTTAGCATAACAGAAAGAAAGCAGAGCTCCTGAAGAAGGAGGAGTCTCAAGAGAGGGATGCCAAGGAGTGTCTGTCGTCCAGGGGTTTTTATGGGCTTGATCTTTCCCTATAGATATAGGACTTAGAAAAGAGGCCAATCAACTCTATTTTGCCTTCTTCAGCAAATCTGAAGAAAAGTGATTTCTAAGCCTTAATCAGCACAAGAGTGGGAGTGAAGGTCTGTTGGAGCAAGAGGAAGTACTTTTGAGGGTTGGTCTCTTCTATGGGCTGTTAAGGAGATGTCCTTGTGGCTAGGAATAGTTGGAGTCAGAAATTTGATTTCCCATTTCTGTCTTCCTTCTTTTCTTCTCCAGGCCCATTTTTCTGGCTATCTGTGAGTAGTCTAGTATTTTTTTTTTTGTCTGAATACTGAAATGCAACTTTTCACAGAAGAATTTTAACAGGGCTGGGGATGTGGCTCAAACGGTAGCGCGCTCGCCTGGCATGCGTTCGGCCTGGGGTTCCATCCTCAGCACCACATACAAAACAAAGATGTTGTGTCCGCCGAAAACTAAAAAATAAATATTAAAATTCTCTCTCTTTAAAAAACAAGAATTTTAACAAACTATTAGGTAGCTTCAGTCAGAGGTGTTGAAAAACCAGCCTCTACCTCAGAGCAAAGCCTGTCCAAGGAAGGGACATGACCTTTGTCCTTGGAAGGACCCACAGAGCACTCCTAGGCACATTCCCACCCTGCTAAGTTGTTTATCTACAAATGATAGGAAAAGATCTGCTGCGCCAGGTGTCCCTGACTCAGTCAGGCTAGGTGGGGATCCATAGCAACCCCCTAGCGGCTACCAATCAGCATGAGACAGGGAAATACCTGGGATGCCAGATGACCCTCCCAGTAGTTTAAGGTGGTTGATAACGTGTTGGGAAACCATGTAGTTCAGCACGTACACCCCTCTTGGCTTAAACCAATCAGTTCAAATGAATCCCCTTCTTGTAGTAACCAATCACCCCTACCCAACTTGTTCCGGCCAGTGAATGTGCTAATCATGTTTTAGAGTTGTTTGATTCTCCCGAGGTGTGTGATGATTTGCCAAGAGATACTATGATGTATGTGGGGGTCCCTGCCTTCTCCAAAGAATGTATAAAACTGCTGCAAACCCTGGGCTCGGGGCCTCTCAGCGTCACCAGTAGAGGACCAAGCTAGCTCGCAATAAACACCTCTTTGCTGTTTACATCGATCTTGGTCTCTGGTGGTCTTTTGGGGGGTCCCGAATTCGAGCATAACAGTGTCATCTATAGCAAAGCTGTAGACTAATAATATATTGCTTAGCTGTGTGACCTCCAAAATTAAGGATTAATGAGGTGTATCGGGGAGAGGGGCTGTTGAATCCAGAGCCTGACCTGTGCTAGGCAAGTACTGAGCTACATCCCCAGCTCTTTTTATTTTGAAACAGGGCTTCTAAGTTACCCAGGCTGGCCTCCAACTTGTAGGCTCCTGCCTCAGCCTCTCAGGTTACTGGAATTACAGCATTGGGCCACCTCACCAGGCTAAAATATGTGATTTTAAAAATCTACTAAAGCAAGTAGAAGGTTTGGGGATGTTGATTAGTGGTAGAACGCTTGCCTAGCATGTTAGAGGCCCTGGGTTCAGTTCCCAGAATGCAGGAGTGCACATGTGAGCGTACACACACACACACAAATGGATGGGTCAAAATCACATAGTATGGGTCAGATTCATTAGCTGTGTAACCTCAATTAATTAAATCCATACAATGGCACAGCCATATCTTTCAAAGTACTATCTTGAGGATTAACTCCCCCTTCACAGTATTATCATGAGGATTAAAATTTCCACCCCCTGCCCCCATGATACTGGTAATAAAACCCAGGGCCTCTCAGCAACTAGCATCCAGGTGATTTCTGACACAAAAAGAAGTTCAAGAAGTACTGTTGGGGCATCAGGAAGCCACTGAAGGCATATCCTCAGAAGAGATCAGAGCTTGCAGGGTTTCTGTTTGAGACTAAAAGACTCAGGGTTTACTCCAGTTGAACTGGGCTAACTGGGCTGCGCAAAATAACCACACAAGAGACACAAATACCTTTTTCATCGGGGTTGCTGTGACAGCTCCTCTGACCTTAAAGGTCCACAGGATGAGAGAGAGAGAGAGAGAGAGAGAGAGAGAGAGAGAGAGAGAGAGAGAGAGAACGCGCTGACCCCTTTTATTGAGGAGAAGCTATTCAAATGAGGCAGGTTTCAAGGGGCTGAGTCTATCTTCATGATGTACACTGTCAGCAGGTTGACTGACATCTGGGTAGGCCACACCCAAGGGCACAGTAAGAGAAGGGGACACACACAAGGCACTTCCATGGAAGATTCTACCCTAAACAGGGCAAGGGATTATATTACAAAGGAACAAGTGAGCATAGCTTCACCCATGGGGCTGTAGCAAGACACAGTCACTTGAACCTTAGAAGAGTGGGGCAGTCTAGCAGCATGGGTGCCATATCACCCAGCAGGGGAGTTGACTCAGTCACAAGCGAGCTTGGTCTCTCACAAGAGCTGTTTTCTCAGAAGGTAGTTTGAGGTGGGAGGTGAAAGGGGAATGGGGACAGAAAGAGTTCTGACAGGGTATTTCAATAGTTCTGGTAAAAGAACTATGAGGACACCAACTGGACAGTGAGATCTGAAGCAGGACCAGTGAGAATGGATGGGACTGATGCAGAAGAGGGAGAAGCCAAAAGTGCCACTAAGGCGACATTTAAATACATTATAAATGTGCTTTATATCTTCTCTTGTTTTCTCAAGAAATAAATCTGAGTTCCCTCTATAAAATGAGGCATTTAAATAGGATGATTTCTGGAGTCTTTTTCAGTTCACATGCCCAGTGAACAGAGCTGCTATCTGCTGAGCAACCTGCTGAGTCTTTGAAACGGACTTTTTGGAGGAGTAGCCAGGGTGATAACTCAGAGCACTGCTTTGCATCCTGCTTTGCCTCTTTTTGTTCATCCCTACATGCACTGCCTTGAGCTTGAACCTATCATACAAATAGCATCTTAATTTCTGCCTCATTCTCAATGTTTTAGAGGCCCCAGGACCCAGTCAATAAAAAGGCCATAGTGCTGAACTCTCCTATGGAAATCAAAGCAAAAACTATTCAGATATGTATAGGAAAATCCAGTGATGGTCTGATTTTTCTCTAATGACTGTTTTTCTCCTGATACGATTCCTAGGGAAACATCCAATATCTCAGTATTATTTTTTTTTAAAAAAATGTTTATTTTTTAGGTGTAGATGGACACACAATGCCTTTATTTTTTTATGTGGTGCTGAGAATCGAACCTGGGTCCTGCCAGTGCTAGGCGAGCGCTCTACCGCTGAGCCACAATCCCAACCCTCAGTATTATTTTTTAATTCTCCTTTTTCGTTGGAAGGGGAGGGTGCAACCCAGTTTGCTGGTGCTCAGTGAGCAAGGAGGGGGCAATAGTTTGATAGGGTTTTACCTGTGCTTTCTCTAGCAGAAGAGAAGGGATGAAACCTGTAGGCTACTTTTATCTTCTTTAGAAACCTATGTGCCAGGAAGAAAAAGTATTGAGAAATATGATTTTCATAGCCAAATTGGCAGCAGTGAAGTAAATAGTGAAGTTCTACTGTGATAATATTTAGCAAATGGCTACACACAAAATCAACCAAAGATGTCCACATACATGTTATACGGTTTTATACTGTTTGTGTTGAAGAAAATACCCAGAATCTCAACCTAAGAGAAAAGGAACAAGGGAAAGAACACAGACAATCTGTTCCAAACATGGATTTGATTTTATTTAAAGTGGATGAAAAGACCTTCCAAAGAACAGAAGCAGTAATCCAAATGCTCAAAAACCACTCACACCATGGAAATTGAATTTGCACACAGAATGCAATCCAGAAGTTAATAGAAACTAAACTTCTACTTCTTTGGAGTAAATTTAACCAAAAGATCAGAAGATAGAAAACAATAAATGATAACAATAAAGAATTTAATGAATCATGAAAAACTAAATGTATAATCTGATTAAAGAGAGAGAGAGAGAGAGAGAGAGAGAGAGAGAGAGAGAGAGAGAATCCTTTAGTGTAATTTTCCTTAACTCTCTGCACAAGGAGAGGATTCTGGGTTTTTAAGATTTTTTTTTTTTTAATCGGACACAATACCTTTATTTATTTATTTTTCATGTGGTACTGAGAATTGAACCCAGGGCCCCACACTTGCTAGGCGAGTGCTCTACCGCTGAGTCACAACCCCAGCCCCGGTTTTTAAGACCTTTGAATAGGACTTTCCTGGAGGAAATTTGCTTTTGAGCACTGTATAGGGGTCCATTTCTGAAAGAAGCCTAAAATAATTGGAACTCCTTGGCCAGCTCCATGGAGAAGTACCTCAGTGGGAAGGCAGTACGGTGGTGGGATATAGAAATCCTGGAGCAAGTTTACCTGGTTCAAATGCTAGCACTTTCATTTGTTAACTGTGATCTTTGGTAATTTACTTATGCTTTCTATCAGTTTTCTTGGCTATTTTCTCTTTCTTTCTTTCTTCTTCTTCTTCTTTTTTTTTTTTTTTTCTTTTTGGTCCTGGGGATTGAACCCAGAGCCTTGCACATGCTAGGTAAGCACTCTACCTCCTGAGCTATATCCCCAGTCTAGTTTTCTTGGTTAAAAAAGGGGAACACTAGCCGTGCACGGAAGTGGACACCTGTAATCCCAGTGGCTTGGGAGGCTGAGGCAGAAGGATTGCGAGTTCAAAGCCAGTCTCAGCAACTTAGTGAGACCCTAAGCAACTCATCGAGACCCAATCTCTAAATAAAATACAAAAAAAAAAGGTCTGGGACATGGCTCAGTGGCTAAGCCCCCTTGGGTTCAATCCCCAGTACAAAAAAAAAATACTAATTGTACTAATCACACAGATGTAAAGCTCTTATAAGGGTTGTGACAAGGGAAGTACTCAATAAATATTATTACCTGATTGAAAAAAAAACAATGTGTGTTCATGTGTTTCTTTAGGAAAAGAACAAGGTATCTTGCTCACCAGTTTGGGAGAGTGTACAATAAATAACTGGATGATTTGCTATAGTAGCTTTTTTTCTGACTTGGAGAAATATTTAAAAGTAAAATCTTAAATGAGACATATTTCTTGTTGTAGGCTTTTTTTTTTCTCCAGAGAGAGGATTAGAAAGATTTTAAGAGTGAAAACAAGAATTGGTGAGATTTAGTGAACAGACAACAAATGACTTCATTGGAGCTATAGTTACTGTTAAGTGGTAGACAATGGAAACTAAAGTAAGTTTACTTATTGTTAAAAATGGAAGCAGGATAATTCAAAAGTACAACATATTCAGTTGCGGGGGGGATCTGTTCAAAAACATGTAGTAATTCTACGGCAAGGCAAATGCGACCCACGGGGCAGGTTCTCAGGATCAGAGAGGAGCAAGAGTCAAGTTAGGAGCTTGGTTAGGAGTTCAGCCACCAAGAATAGTGGAGTTAAGAAACTCAGTTTTCCAAATGAGTGGTGAGGACTCCAGAAATGGCTTCCTGCTTCCGTCAAAGATTTTAAAAGTATATATCTCTTTGTGGACCTCCTCTAACTTGAGTCAGAAAATAAAAATGTATTAAGCACCAACTGTATTCTATGTTCTATGTCATTAAGAAATACGAGTCTTATTTCACTTATTACCAAAGGTTGCCCAATCTCTGCTCCTGGTCACTTTTCTTGCCATGGGGAAGAAGAGGGGGGCATGTGGCTCTCTAATTTTCCATAAGTAAAGCCTTGTTTTTCCTCTTCTTTTTACAGAAGGCTCTCACCTTTACCAGTGGAGGTTAAAGAGAAAGAAAAGAAATAATTAAAGTACTACCTTAGAGATGGGAATGAAAGAGGATCCAAGGAGTGGGGGCGAATCTCAGTGGCCCTGGGTTCTACCCCCAACTCCATAAAAAAGGAAAGAAAAGGGTCAATCGGTTGCTATAGTACAACGGAAGGATGAGAAGGTTATTTTCAGACCCACCCTTCACCCTCAACCATAATACAAGAATGAGACATACTTTTGCAGCAAAATTATGCAGCTCTTGGGGGCTTCTTCCTTCCATAAAAAGGCTACACTCCAAAGTGATAGACTAGGTTTCTACTCTTATACAAACCACTTCTTGAGATGCAAATTTTTAAAAGGTGTTTCTACAGAAGGATTGCATTAATGTAGCCTTCTAAAATATATCCTTTGAAAGCCTGGGTTAAGACATTCTTCCAGCAGTTTTCTTACTCAATTCCTTTAGCTTTCAGTTCCTCCTTGACACGTTCCAGGTAGTGAGGATCAGGGTAGCCATAACTGCAGAAAGAAAAAACCCTTTTATGCATCATCACAAATGGTTAATATCATCTGCATTTGAGGATTTCCTATTCAGGGTTGTGAACAATTATGGGTGATGTATAACTGTTCTTCAATGTGCAGATGATTTCTCATTTAGCTAGTAAGTGAGCCTAGCTGTCTGACCAGTATCTGTTTTCCAACCAGGCTTTAAAATTCTCAGTTTATTGTAAGCAGCGATTCTCATACAATTATAATCATATGCTATATTTTACAGGGAGTCGTAAGTTGAAAATTCTAGTAGGATTTTCAACTTGGGCAATTTGAAAAAGTCTCAGGATATTTTTCTTTTTGAATATCAAGGGTCTGAAGTAATCTGAGTTTCATAAACAACAATCAGATTTCCTGTAACGTAGCTTTTACCACCATTAGCCTCTCAAAACTAAAACCAAGAGAGTTTAGCTTCTCTGTGGACTGATGAGAAAAAAAGGACAGAAAGAAAGATGATCTTAAAAGAAAGCAAAGGAACACTTCTAGAACCTACCTTTCAAATAGACATGATGCTCAAATTTAATCAACTTAGATACCATTCACCTTGGTTCTGAAACCCTCTTCCCTTGGATGCAAAATTTAATAACTAATATTTGTAGTTGGCAGGGTAGGTGGTTATAGGGACCAGTCTTTCTCTCTTTGAAATTATCATCCCAGATTAGCATTTCTCATAATACTAGGATACCAGTGCTATAAAATCTCCTTATATCCACATCCTCAAATTGCTGTATTTTACAACCTCTATACTTTGTTTAGGAACCACTATATTTCAAAAGGTTCTCACTTTTCTGGTCCTCCGTACCGGGATGTTTTGTGATGTATATCATTCCATGTAATGACATTTGAGATTCCTGATGTTCGAGATTGCCCCACTGTGAAAATCAGCTTTTGTTCAAAGGCTTTTGAAAGTAGTTCCAAAACCTTCTTTCCTTCCTTATTATCAGGCAAGTATGCAATTCGCTGTATTCCATAATAAGGCTTTCCTGGGTTTGGATGCTTGTTCTGTATAAAGACAAAAAAATGTCAGGCAAAAACAGTCCCCTGTCTAAATTTTACTATATGCATAGATATGTTCATTTGTAGAGAGAGCAAATAAAAAATCAAGAAAAGCATTAAAGTGTTACTTATATTCCTAATAATTTATATTTCTCCTCTTTCAACTTCCTGACTCCTACTATCCTAACACATATTCTCCATTCATCCTTTGTTGATCTTAAGAAATATACATGTAGGGCTAGGTGTAACGTAGCTTTTACCACCATTAGCCTCCTTGAATAAAGGTGAAGCTGCTTTTGAATTATTACTATCAGTGTCCATGGGTGTTTCATGATCTTTGTTCAATTTCTCTCCAGCTGACAGAAACAGGTCCCCACTCTTTAAGACATATTGTTTTGCCTCTGCAACGTGATTTGGCAAACCAGTCAAAGTCATTGCCTCTCGACTCAGCACAAAGTGTATATGTAATCTTAGCAGCTCAGGAGGCTGAGGCAGAAGAACCACAAGTTCAAAGCCAGCCTCAGCAACTTAGCGAGAGCCTGTCTCTAAATAAAAAATAAAAAGGACTGGAGGTGTAGCTTAGTGGTTAAGCACCCCTGAGTTCAATCCCCAGTACCAAAAAAGAAAGAAAGAAAAAAAGAAAATCACGTAGGGCTAGAGGTATGGTTCAGTGGTAGAGCACCTCCTTTGGATGCATGAAGTCCTGGGTTTGATCCCCAACACTGCCAAATGACATGCAAAACAATTCAAAACAAAATAAAAACCCATAAAAATGTGTAAGGAGAAAAAGAAAAATTAAAAATAAAAAGACATGAAAGCTCTACATTATATGCAGATGAAGTGACCTTCTTCACTATTTCTGTCCCTTGCACATGACCATGAAATAATTCCCTGGGAAAACCATTGTCAAATAGGCAAGAGGATAATCACTCAACGTAGTGGAAAGAAACCCAGGGACCCCAGAAACACTTACCGTTTGTATGCCTCCTGACATATCATATGTAATGACAATGGTGCCACAGGATGGATAACCCGGAAGTGACTCTTTTACAGTTTTATGAATCATGGTTCCTTCTGGTTGATTCCCTTTCTGGACACCATAAGAAGTCTGACACACGGGGCAGACAGGCTTATAAGACATGGCTTCAATGATACAACACCTACAGAATTCGTGCTTGCACTTTGGTAGTACGTGTTTGTCACTAATGGTGTCCATGCAGATGACACAGGTGTCCTCTTCCTTCTTATCTGCTTCGGAGGCCACAGAACTTGCAGAGTCCTTGAATGAAGGCGAAGCTGCTTTTGAATTATTACTATCAGTGTCCATGGGTGTTTCATGATCTTTGTTCAATTTCTCTCCAGCTGACAGAGACAGGTCCCCACTCTTTAAGACATATTGTTTTGCCTCTGCAACGTGATTTGGCAAACCAGTCAAAGTCATTGTCTCTCGACTCAGCACAAAGTGTATATCTGGATGCCTCTTTCTAAAGTCATCAGCAAACTTAGTCCCACGTAAGTGCTGTTTCTCCTTGCCCAAAGTTTTCAGTAAAAGGACTTCTTTCGTCAACTGACAGGTGGCATGTTGAAAGGCATCGATGAAACTTGCATAAGCATGCACAGACAGATCTATCTCCTTATCCTTTGGATCAAACAGAATGCAGGTTTTCTGACCTTTCTCCCTAACTTTACTATGACTATTGTACTTTTGCTCTATCTCTACTATCTTTTTGAGTAACTGAGCTTCTAGAAGCTTATAGTGAGCAGTGTCAATCTCAATTGTGTTCTTCATGCAACTGGGAGCAAATATTTTCACAGGTTTCAAGACAAGAAATTCGGATATTTTTTGATTGGCAGCTGAAATGTCATCTTGGGTCCCAAGGAGAGTGAGCACTCCTCCTTGCTCCTTTATCAGGAGCTTTGGAAATCTGTGACTCAACTCCTGTTTGATGTTATTTGCCCAATTCCTATCTTCTAAAAAGACACGTTCTTGCTTCAGAGATTCAATGGTCTTCTGAAAGTCGCTGACAAAAGACTCACGAGCTGCTTCTATGTCCTCTGAATGGCTGGAGGTAAAGTCTAAATAGACTGTATTGGGAGGGATATCTTGAATTTTAGTGTTTACACCAAATCTTTTCTCTATTGAGTCTATTTTACCAGGACAGGTATATCTGAAGTATTCAAAGAAATGCAAGGGAATTTCAAAATGGCTGCCTTTTTCTTCTGACCTGGGTTTTGGTTCAGAAGGAAAAAAGCAGCTGTCACAGTCCTGCTGGTCAAGTGGTTTCCTCTCCGTGGTAGAAGGGGAAGATTCCTGATTCCTCTCATTCTCCAGGAGCTGCTCACTTAAGAAGTGATATATTTTCTCAATATCTCTGAAATCACCACACACCTTCTCAATTCCATTGTCACCCTCCAACTTTTTGACTCTGGGGCAGAGAGTGGTTACATGTGCCCTCTGCTCTTTGGAGAACAGGTCACAGTTCAGATCGGCTGTCACAGTAAGAAAGATCTGAAAAATTCAAAGGAACAGGAACAAATAAAATATCTCAGACTCCCAGGCCCCCAGTAGAACTCAGCATTCTTCAGAATGCCCTGAGACTACAGAAACAACCACTAAGCCTTTCCTTATGGGGGGCCACCTGTTCAAATCCTTTAAGAGAATGCAGTATACTACAGCCTAGAGGGTCTCAGGCCTGTCTGCATGTTAGAATCACCTGGGAAGTTCAAAAAGTGAAAGAGAGAAAGAAAGAGTGGGAAGGAAGGAGAAAGGGCCAGTGGGCCAGGGCTCAGGCTCATCTCCAGAGATTCATGTAAATGGTCTACAGGGGAGCCTGGGATTGAACATTTTTTAAAAGCTCTATGTTACAAAAGAACTGGGTTTTAAAGCTGCCCCTGTCTGACCTTGAGGAATGACAGTAGAGAGAGGCATTTCTGTTCTCTGGATAAGTTGCTGTGGTCCTCACAAAATAGTCTGTGAAAGGAGTCACAAATCTGAGGATAATTTTTTTTCTTATTACTATATTTTTCTCTTATTTACCCTTCCTCTTTAAAAAATAAACACTCTATATGTGTAATATGAAGCGAATTGCATTCTGCCATCATGTATAACAAATTAGGATAAATAAATAATTTAATAAAAAACAATTTAAAAAAAACAAAGAGTTGGGCATGGTAGCACATGCCTATAACCTTAGCGACTCTGGTGGCTGAGGCTCCAGGAGGATCGCAAGTTCAAGGCCAGCCTTATCGACTTAGTGGGACCCTGACTCAAAAAAAAAAAAAAAAATAGGGCTGGGGATGTAGCTTAGTGGTAAAGCGCTCCTGAGGTCAATCCCAGTACCAAATAACAACAACAATAAATAAAACACAAACCAACAAAATTAAACATTTGACTTCCCACAGAGTTGCTAGGCCCTTCCTAAACTTTGACCTTTTAGAAGCTCAATTATAAAAAAGATATTCTAGTTTACAATAAAAAGGACAGAGGTGAATGAAATGTAGTAGAAAAGCAAAATTTCTAATGTTTTGTTCCCCCTTGAGGTCTCTGCACATGTTCTTTTCTTTGCATGGAACATTATTCCTCTAGATCTCCAAAATGTTTCCTGAATCTCCTGTTCTTATATGTCTATGGGAACCATCCAGAGTCCAGGCCATTATCATCCTCCACCTGGCCCATTGCAACTTTTCCTAACTGGGCTCTGACTTTTTATTCTAGCCCTTCCTGCACATGTATTTCCACACACAGCAGCCAGATCGATCCCTTAGAAATGTAAACGAAAATGCCCACTCCCCTGGATCAAAACCATCTGATGACTCTCCTGACATTTAACTTGAAATCTGATGTCCTTATCATCATCCCCTAAATACCTGACCTCTCTTGAGTTGCCAGCACTCCTTCCCTTGCTTACTGTCTTCCCCTACTCTATCTTTTTTGTAGCTTGAGAGTTCAGGATATAAGCTTTTGTGGGGCCTGTGCACATGTGCATCCCTTGGCCAAGGCCTAGAATGTTCTTCCTCCAGAAACCCACTCATCTAGCTCCCTTACTTCAATCATTTCTGTTCAGATGACTCTATCTGAGTGGTTCTTCTTGACATCCTGTGTCAAATAGGGTTTCTTTCATTAATCCTGCTTTATTCTTCTTTCCAAAACTTATAGGCATTTTATTACATTTCTATTTGTTTACATTGTTGGTTCCTCTCACTTAAAGGTAAGTGGTGTGTGGGCAAAGTCTCTGTGTGCCTGGCTGTGTCCCCAGCCCCTATTACAGTGCCTGGCACATAGCAGTCAGTCAGTATCTATTTGTGGAATGAATTCTTGCATGGCTGACTCCTCATTATGTCTCATGCCAAATACCTCCTCCACAGAAGAGTTGGCTCTGACTTCTGGTCATAAGTAGAACCATCTTCACCATTCCCTTTCTTGCCTTGGCCCTGTTCTCTCTGAGGCAAAAGCTTATTTTATTTTCTTAGCAGGTCTCAAGCCTCTGAATTTTTTTTTTCAGGTTTTTACTTGCTTATTGTTTTTCTGTGCACCTCTCCACCCCAGTACCAGCTGCATGAGAGCAGGGACCTTGTCTGCTGTGTTCATCTCTGTGTCCTAGTGCTTAAACCAGTGCCTGACTCATTATTAGTCCCCAGCACTGTCTGCTGGGACAAAAAGGCAGTAGGTGTGGTAACCATGGGGGCAGCTGCTTTTTCCAACACTCACCTTTTGGACATAGGAGTCGACATTATTAGGAACAGGACCTTTATTTGGATGTTTCTCCCCAGACTGTGCTTCAGCTTGTGACTGTGTCAGTGAAGAACTTCCAGGTTTTGTTTTCTCTTCTGGCTTCTTAGTGGTATCCAGAAAAATGGGCACAGGTTTCTCATCAATCGAGATGTGGTGATCTCCTTTTTTCAACACTCCCTCCTTAGCTTCAGTGGAGACATTAAACATACATTCACAGGACAAATTTCAAATAGCCCTTGGAATTCCCTGAAAATTGGTTTTGGGAACCCCCAAAGATACCCAAATCCATGGATGCTCAAGTCCCTTATGTAAAATGGTGTAATACTTCCATAAGTATTAAATACTTTAAATCATCTCAGATTACTTATAATACCCAATGCAATGTAAATCTATGTAAATAGTTGTCTTACTATATTGTCCAGGGAATAATGACAGAAAAAATGTACATGTCCAGTACAGATGCTATTTTTTTTCCTGTAATTAAGACAGTTTCCATCCCTGGTTGGTTGAATCCACGGATACAGAACCAACAGCCACAGAAGGCCTGACAGTAATCCCATTATTCTTGCATTTATACCCTGCCCAGTACCTCACTGTAAGACTGTTCCCTGCATGCTGGAATAGCAGTTTGGTGGGGAAATAGGGGGAGCTATTCAGAACTCTGAAGTGGACAGCTTACATTTTACAATAAAAATGAATGCTTAATGATAATGGAACATCATCGGCCCATTTAAATCATGTTTCCAGTCCGCCTTTCAATGATATGGAATAATAGTCATTAAATAATTAAGTTTTTTTTTTTTTAAAGCAGGAATCCAAAGTTTCTCCTCAGATTGTTAGAAATGCATATGTTTGCTGACATTCATAGGAAACGGCTGGAGAGAGATACATCAAAATGTTCCCATTGTTTATCTCCACATAGTTTTCTTTTTTTGCTCTTTTCTATAGGGAGCATCTATTACTTTTGTAAACCTCAAAAGTCAGTCAATTGAATCATTATTTACAACATAAAACTGCAATGCTTAAACAACAAGGACAACAACTGCCAGGAACCTGAGGAGGGAAGGGGCAGTACTTATATTTCTGTGGCAATTGAAAAAATATGTCAGTTCAGAAAAGCACTAGAAAGTACCATCCTTGAGGTATTCAACCCGGATCAGGGACTAGTCACATCTGGGACTCTAACCTCCACTGTGGGGTTGCAGGAGATGCTGGCAACAGGAACTCCGGCTTCTTGCCCCCCTCAAGGACAGCTCCATACTTTTTCCTGCGCGCTCCCCTAGGTCAGACTGAATTGGGTCGCCCTGGAAACCCGCGGCGCTGCGCCCCCCACCCCCGGGACGGCCTTGGCACCTCCGCTGCCCGCAGCTCACCTGCCCTTTCTCTGAACTCCACCCGGAAAGTGTCCGGAGCGCTCGGGCCGACCGGCCGGACCGTGCACTCCCCGCCGCCCGAGAGCCGGCTCTGGAAGTAGCTTTCCAGTTTCCTGTGCAGCCGGGGCATGGACTGGGACACCCGCACGAGCAGCGGCGACGGCGGGCAGGGGCTGGAGGCCATGGCGCTCGGCGTGCGGCTCGAGTGGGGCTCCGGGACGCTTCTGTGCCGGACGGGGCAAAGGCGCCTCCCGCCCCGCCGACTGGGGCCTCAAAGTTTCAGTTTCGCTTCTTTGGAAGTCCCGCCCTGTTCCCAGCAGAGCCGCCTCCCCTCTGGTCTGTGCAGTCCGCCCCACAGCCAGCGTCGGGTAAGTGGGTCCCGTCCCTGGGGGTCCGCTCTCCTGCAGGCTCGAGCGAGGGTGGGCGAGGACGGGGGTCCCCGGGCCAGGCCTCCCCAGGTTAGGATGTAAGCCAGGCAGGGAAAATAAGTTTCTCTTGTGTTTCTGTTCTTTTAAACCATTGTTGTTATTGCTGTTTGCCACAAGATGTAATTCGCATTCCGAGTTCACGTTATACTTAACCCAATTTTAAAAAAAGAAGTTTTTAGTTTGTGTACCCGCATTGTTACCTGCGACGTGCTCCGTGCCAGCAGCTCTGTCCTGTAGACAGGCACTTTTCTGCCCTCTTCCCTTGAGTTGGCCAACAGTACGGAATGGTTGTCGCCCTGTGCAGGAGGGGTAAGAGGCCCCTTAGCTGAAGGGCTGCAAAGGGAGGCAGACCTGTGAACAAGGAAGCAAATCTCTGAAGACCTCCAAGTGAAAGTTTTGAGCGGAATTGGACACTCTCTAAAAGTGTTGAGTGGGGGGCTAGGGAGGGGAGAGAAAGGGAGTGCATCTGGGACCAGGAGTGCTGTGGTCTGAAACACAGAGAGGGCCCTGGGACCTGGAAGGGGAGGAGATGGACAGGGACATGCAAAAGGAGGGGCCTGCTCAGATCTGTGCTGTTCAATAGAAATATAAAGGGAGTCACATGTTAATTGTAAAATTCTTCATCATATTATTAAACATTTAAAGAAACAGGTGAAATTGATTTTACTGCTGCTATTTAATATATTCAAACTAATTATTTCAGCATATAATGGGATAATTTATGATCTCTTTGGTCATTCTAAGTCTTTGCCATCCAGTGTTTTTCTTTTATTTACTTCACATTTCATTTCAGACTAACCACATGTCCAGTGTTTGATAACTACATGTGCCTAATGGTCTACCTTGAACAGCACATATCTAGATGGTGAAAGGTCTTGATGATAGAAATGGAAGAGCTGGAAACAAAGGAAGCCAAAAACTGATGAGTCAGATTGGTATCTTAGAAAGAAGGAGCTGACAACATTGCAAAGAACACATTTCCAACCAGGGATGAATGGAGGTAGAGAGGCCAGAGATGAGATTTTTGCATGTGGAAATGACTAGAAATGGCCGGTCTTCATGGACAGCAATTTGGCACTACTATCAGAATTATAATTGCATATGCCGTATTTTTTTCAGTACCACATCCAAGAATTTGTCCCATTGATATATTAGCCCTTATGTGTTAAGCAACCTAGGTACAAAATTGTTCTTTTTATAAAAAAAATTTTAGTTTTAGATGGACACAATATCTTTATTTTGTTTTTATGTGGTGCTGAGAATTGAACCCAGTGTCTCATGCATGCTAGGCAAGTGCACTACCACTTGAACCACATTCCCAGCCCTCAAAATTGTTCTTTATAGGCTTCTTTACAGTAGCTTAAGACTGGGAACTCCTTAAATGTCCATGAATGGGGAACAGCATTAAATAACTTATAGTTAAATAACTTACAGTATTTCTATTCAATGGAATACAATAAATAGTGAAAAAAAATGAGGTCCATCTCAATGTGCTACTGTGAACAGATCTCTGGCACATATTAAGTGGAGAAGGTAAAATGTAGAAGAGTGTGTATTAGATGCTACCTTTTGTGTAGAGATGTCCCAAGAAGGATATAAGAGAGGTTGATTACCTTGGAGGGTGTTTCTTGAGGGAGGTAAGAGAGGACCTTCTACAGTTTTTGCACCATGTAAATACATAAATGTAATATGTATTCAGACAATCAAATGTAAAGTTAGATAGTGCATTTGAATCTTTGGAAAGAGTATACTGCCATAACTCAGGCAAGAGGTTCTGAGACCCTAAAGTGCAGCAATATCAGGAAATAAGAAAGTTAGGGACATATTTGAGAGGAACTTAGGTGGTCAGGACCCAGAGAGAGATTGGATATAGGACAAAAGAGGAGATTTAAGGATAATTCTTCGATTTCTGATTTGAGTGGGCAAATGGCATATTATTTGCTGAGCTGTGGAATCTAGGAGATAAAGCATGGATTTTTTGCGGGGGAGTGGGGAGGAGGATATAAGGGTCAATTCTTGTAGAAACTGTATTTGAGGGGAATATGGGACATCCAGATAGAGTTGCAGGAGAGTAGTAGCCTAGAAATACAGATATGGGAGTTGTATTTACAGTTGGTGAGTTGAAGCCCTGAAGTAGATGAGATTACCACCTGGGGAATATGTAGAATAAAGAAGTGTCTCTTAGACAGAATCTTGAGGCCAGGTGGGGTGGTGTATACCTGTAACCCCAGCAGCTCCAGAAGTGGAGGCAGGAAGTTTGCAAGTTCAAAGCCAGCCTCAGCAACAGGGAGGCACTAACAACTCAGTGAGACCCTGTCTCTAAATAAAATACAAAAAAAGACTGGGGATGTGGCTCAGTGGTTAAGTGATTTGGATTCGATTAAAGAGTGAGGGGAGGATGCTGGAAGTGAATTCAGGGAAAGGTCTATAAAGGCATAGGGACAAAAAAATACAAAGAGTCAAGAGGGCATAGGAAAAGCTAATAAAGCAGAGTTTCAGGAATCAAAGAAAGAAATGCTATAGAAGGGGTCACGCAAAGACTAGGATAGAAGATAGTGCGCCATGGGTTAACCACATGGAGAACACTAACAGTTTCAGAGGAGTACTGGGGTTGAGATGGGGAGTCAGACTATGGTGAGCTGAGCGGGTGGGATGACAGGACAATCAACTACTCTTTGCAGAAGTTTGACTGCCAATGAGGGACAGAAATACCATAGGAAAGGACAGAAGGAATATAGTGACAACAATAGCAAAACACTGTGCATCTCACCAATGAAATGAAAAACTTCAAGATCACAAGTCATGTTCAGTTCTCCTATGGAATAGTCTTACCAAATTCCCTCAACTTCAGTGATGGAAAGTTGAGAAGGTGTTTGTGGTTATTTAAATGGAAGAAATTGTTTTAGGCAACATTCTCTTTGCTTCTAATTTCTCTGGGGTTAAATGGATGCCAGCTCCACAGCCAAGTCAGTGCCTAGCCCTTTAAGGGCAGGTCTGAAGATAGAGACAAGCACAACAACATCTAAAGAAAAACCCAGCAGCCCAGCAGGTGCAGAAGTCTTCCTTCTTTTGTAAATACAGCAGTGCCCTCTAGAGGCACAGATGCTTTTCGTTCTTGCATTTTAGGATTGTTACTCCTTTTCCTCCAGGTGTAAGAATAATAGTGCTCTGATGCTGTGGATGATTGTACAAAAATTTTCTATTGCAAACACAGAGAGATCACTTTAGGGACCTAAAGACAGCAGAAAGTGTTGACCATTGTATCTTTTCATCATCATTCAAAAAATTCACAGCCTTTAATTGCTGCCTACTTGATGGCAAACATTTCAAAATAATCTTCCCCAGAGGGTTATTTTTTAAAATATTATTATCCAGATATCCCCTATTGAATTAGGTCAAGGATATTTATCATAAACTCTGCAAGGCACACCCCGTGCAGGCACAAGTATCCTCTTTTTTCAAACACTCCTCAGGGGTCTTCACTTGCTCATAAGGCTGTTGTTCCTGGCTGTTCTGAATGCTGTGCTCAGTCTCACCATTTTGTTATCATCTTCCTCTTCTACATATGTGAAAACCTGATCGATCCTTCAAGGCCTGGCTCCAGTCTCACCTTCTCCATGAATTTTTTCCTGTTCAAGCCCCTGTAACTTTTTCCCTTCTCTGAACTGCCATTATGGTTTTTGTTGGAACCTGACCTGAAGAGGACAGAAGGTAAACAATAACAACAGCAAACCAATATGTGCATCTCACCAATGAAATAAAAACTTCTCAAGATCAGAAATCATGCTCAGTGCTCCTATGGACTATTTGTACCAAATTCCCTCAGCATCTGGTCAATGCTTACTGTGTTGTTTCCATTTATTCCTAGAAGTAGGCCGCCATATCTGGGAACTGCAGTCTACACTTTGAAACCCAAGAGGGATTAAAGACCCACCAGAGACCTGGATAATGGCCTTCTCCATGGTAAAATCTATATGTATAAATATATAAATGTCTATGCATTATGAACCTTGATCAGTACATGAAGAGTTTTTCCTACAATAAATAGCAAGAAGTCTGGGCTCTTCAGTAACACCTAGCATCTCATTTGGTTTTAATAGCCTAATAAATGTGTTATTGAATCATTGGGAAATTGGAATCGAAAATATGCTAATTATCAACAATGTCAACTTGAAGATGGATGATTTTTTTAAAAAAATGTCACTTGCATATCATTTGGATTCTCTTCATTCATTCAGCAGATCATTTTTTTAGGATGGAGTAAGGAGATGATAAGGGAGGAATAAAAGCAAGGGAATAGAGAAAGAAACATTTGCTAAATTCATTTGCTAAATTTCAAAATTCTACATGAAGGCTATGACATGAAATAGGCAATTGAAAGTGGGTCCTTACTGGTGGGTGGAAGATGCAGCTGATGAGGCTCATGTCCTCATGTTTTCTGCTCTATCTAGGGAAACTCCAAGACACATTGGAATTGGAGCCTGTCTGAGAGTTTTGGATCTTTTTAGAGGTCTATGACTCTTAGGCCTTTTCAAGTATGAATCTATAACCCTTCATGTCATTTTAAATTCAATCCCTAGGCAAGTGGGATTGGGTCAATGTTTGATGGAACATTTAGTATTTTCAGTGTTTTAGGCACAAAGATAGAAAATAACCACAGTGACAAATACATGTGTCCCTCTCTGCAAACCCAGTGCTTTGAGCCAAGTTGCTGTTGCTTTGTATGTGGTAGACTGTATCTGGGATCAGTATCCTGTAGCTGTTCAGCTTAAATTTTGTTTTAAAGTCATTCTCATCTTTCACAGGATGTTGGAGCAGCAACTTCCAATGAAAAATCAGGTAGGATCACCTCAC